AGTCAAGGATATAAAGAACGTTGAAAACATAGCTCGTATGAAGAAGTTATGAATTTCACAGCGTTATTTACAGTCTACGCCTTCTCGGACCGTAAAAAGAAAAATAAAGTGAAAGTTAGCCGACAGAGTCTAAATGAAAGTCGTAGTATCTTTGATAGCAACAAATGGATAAAAAAATACTGTCGAAAATGAAGTCTGTATGCAAAAGTTATGATATTTCGAAAAATAATAAAATTGGAACGTCGGATGGGCGACACATGGCACCACGGATGAGCGACAAGTGGCACCATCTCCTTCCACCCTTCCTCCCCATGAAAAAAGGACCAGATGGCGACATGTGTTGAGGACGCGGTATGCCTAGGCGGGAATCGTCCTCTGAATTTCCCTATAAATTGACGCATTGTCTTGCTTGTTTAGTGCTCTTTTCTCTTCAAATATCTCTCAAAGTTTCCCGAGGCCCCAAGGCCCGAATCTAGTAGTTACTAGGTGTTAGTAGCGAAGCTCTGGAACACCAGAGAGCCCTGGCAAATAGAGCTTTCAGTTTCAAATTTCTGTCCGTGTAATGTCCGGTTTTTCGTCAAACAATTTGTAAGTTGAGTTATGCTTATCGTGCTTTAAGTATAACTTATATTTTAGTTCGTAAACGTTATTGTGAACTTATAAATAAGATTTATCAATAATAATAGTCGTTATAATGAATGATCTACTTACGTGAATGATGATAAGGCTAGATCAGTGAGATGTTTCAAGTGGATTTTCCAAACATTATGTCTTTATATAACAAACGAATCCTACCTCTGATACGATCTTACCTGGTTTGTTTCTTATTAGCTATACGTCAGTATTTCTTTTAAGATTATTGATAAATCCGAGAAAACATTATAATGATTAACCTTTATAATTAAGAACGAATATTAAAGCTTAGTAATAACCGTATTTAGATCGTTTTAAAGGGAAATCCGAAGTGTCACTCAAAGAGCTGATGTTCCCGCAAATCTTCCAGCTATATCAGGTGAGCGCATAGTTACTTTCATGAACATAATTTTAATACAAAGTATTTATTAAAAAGTATTATTTATCTGTTGAAAGTTTAATTGTGAACTAATTGCTTATTATCTGGAATAATTGTTAAATGTGTATTTGATAACATATATTGTGTGAACCAGATATGGTTAATTATGTATTAAATGTTTATATGGTATTATTACATGATAATATTAAAAATAAGTATTATTACTTAAAAAGATTAATGTATATTAAATGTCTGATACTCTGTTCTAAAATTATACACTGAAGTAGGATAGTGTTGTCTAAACAGAGTTGTATTAGAAGATTGATTACAAGGATTGTAATATTGTCTAAGTTTAAAACTAAGACATATAAAAAATATTTAGATCCAATTAAGTTGGATAAAAGAATAGTTGTATACTATATTGCGATAGTCTGGTCTAAACATAAAAATGGTTTGGAAATCCATTATAAGCATTACAGTCTTACATGATAATAAAAAAAAAATTTATAAAGGATGCTTAGTTCGAGTTAAATTAAAAGAGTGTTTAGTTACACTCTGTAATGTAAAAATATTACATAGATAGGAAATTGTATTGATTACAAGCTTTGTAATGTTTTCGGGTTATACACTAGGACTTAAAAGAGATGTTTAGTACAATTAAGTTTGGATATTGGGAACATCATATTAAGGGTGTGATAGGAACGTAGAGTAGAACTCTGTTATGTGACACTATCATGTGTTGATAGTATGAAATTACGTACCAGAGTACGATGTTGTATTCCTTTGTATAGCCATATGTGGTGGGTCCGATCAGGCAATTGAAATAATATGTATGGTCATCTAACAGGGTAGGATTACAACACTTGACATTCTAGATAGTATTGTGAATTACGTTGCTAATGTGGAATCATAACCCACAGACGTAGATGAAATGAGATACCATATTCATCAAATACTCTGATGGCTTAAGTGCCTTTATGACTTATACCAACCAAGGGAGCCCCTAGCGGTGTAGTCAAACCATTTCTCTAAACGATTTATTAGGTGAGTTGATTCTTCCTGATAATCGTGGATTAGGATTTGTGAGAATTAGTTGGGATAAGTATGTACGGGTGTAATGTTTTATAGATATCTAAGTTATGAGATATATATATTGTTTGGTAACAGTTGGTTTTGCGTGTTTGATCATTATAAATTATAATCATAATAATATTATGGGATTGAAAACCCGATGTGTTTCACCAGGTTTCCCAATCTGACCCACTCAAATTATATGCATCACAGGTAACAAGACTAAAAGTTGTTGGAGCTTGTTTAGGATGTCGAGTGATTTAGAGACAACCTGCAATAGTTTTCAGGACCGTATGTATTTATGTTGTAACTTATGTTGTGTATTAATATGACATCCTAGAGTTTTTGTATTTTTAAACATCTTTATTCAAAGATATTTTTAATAAAATGAAACAGTTTCCGCAAGATGTTTTATTATACATGGATTTTCCGCAAACTAAGATGATACGATTTTAGAAGCGTGAAGAAAAGTTTTCTTTTTGTTCTGAAAAATAGGGGATGTCACAGTGTTTGATACTGGAACCGGCCCGAACTATATCAAAACCAGAACCGAAAATGATGGATTGTAGAACTAGAAACCAGACCGAATACCACTAATCGCTTCTAACCGGTTTCGGTTCCAGTTCCGCTTTTTCGGTAAAAATGTATCCCTAATAGAAGACAACAAAAGAAAGAAGGTTTGAGTTTTTTGGATTTTGATGAAAGTTGTGAAAGTGAGAAATGAAAATCAGGTCTTATGTTTTATATTAGGATTATGAAAATGGTTCCCTACGAAATGGGTTATTTTAGGATTATAAAAATGGTTCCTGCAAATGCGGTTGTTTTAGGACTTGATTAGTTTTTTTTTATAGTTTTGATAAATAATTAAGAAATTTCTAGTTTTGTCGTTTTCTCATTAAAAACGAGATGATGTATCGATTTTCTTTTATATGTTGGTATTCATTTATATAAGATAAAATTACAGTGTTGTGGTTTGCCAAAAGTAACAAAGTTAGTCTTTGTTAATTTTTTTTGATGCAAATGGTTCTTATGGTTTGCAAAATTTGCACGGATGACCCTTTTTACTAACTCCGTTATTATTTAACCGTTAGGGACTAAATTTTTAAGGGCATTTTCGTCTTTTCAAGTATAAAGAGACTGAATGTGTATCATTTGGTAACCACGGAGACAATTTTTGTAATTTATTTTACAATAATATAAATGTTAGAAAAAGTAAAGAGGATGATTCGAACTTGGGACCTCCTCCCCCTCTCCCTAATCAACCAAAGATCCAATCAACTAGACCAGAGCCAAACTTGTTATATATTTCCGAAAATTAATTAATATTATCTAAAATCTTATATACATTAATAATAAAAAAAATAATAAAAAAACATATTTTTACAAAAAAAAAAAAATTTAATAAACCAAAATATATTTTTAACGTATTGTAAAAATATATTTTTTACAAACAATTTATTTGTTTTTTTACGTATTTGTTTTACGCAAAATATACTTTTTATGTATTTAAAAAAAATACGTTTTCATATAATATGTTATTACATTGCTATTATCTTAAAACATGTTTTTACGTTTTCATATAAAAATAAGTTATTTTTTCTTTCACATAGAAAAAATAGTTTTTTTTACCTATTTATTTCATGTAAAATATGTTTTTAATATATTTAAAAAATACGTTTTCATATAAAATGTTATTAGATAGCTATGATCTTAAAACATATTTTTACGTTTTCATATAAAAATAAGTTTTTTTTTTCTTTCACACATAAAAAAAAGTTATTTTCCGTATTTATTTTATGTAGAATATATTTTTTTATATATTTAAAAAATATGTTTTCGTATAAAATGTTATTATATTGTTATAATCCGAAAATATACTTTTAAATACATAAAAAAACGTAATAACATATTATACAAAAAGGTAATCCCAAAAAACGTAAAAAATGTTTTTTGTATATATTTATTTTATGCAAAGTATGTTTTTTATGTATTTAAAAATACATTTTCGTATAATACATTATTATTTTATTATAATCCTAAAATATATTTTTACGTTATCTTAACGTCTTTAGTTGATTTAAAGCGAAATATGCAAGTATTTTTTTACGTAAAAACGTTAACGTAATAACATATTATACGAAAACGTAAAAAAATAATTGTATATTCGTTTTAAATCAACTAAATACTTGCATATACAAATAACTTTTTTTGTTATTTTTTTTAGGATTACATTTTTGTAGAATATGTTATTACGGTTTTTTATTTATTTAAAAGTATATTTTCAGATTTTAAGAATGTAATAATATTTTATACGAAAACGTATTTTTTAAATATATAAAAAAAAACATAGCTTACATAAAATAAATACGTAAAAAAAAACCTTTTTTTCTATGTGAAAGAAAAAAACTTATATATGAAAACGTAAAAATATGTTTTAGGATAATAGCAATGTAATAACATATTATATGAAAACGTATTTTTTTAAAGGGAAAATGACACATATGACCTATGAACTTTCTAGGGTTTAACCTTTTAGTCACTAAACTTTTTTAGTGACTTTATGAGGGAACAAACTTTATTTTGTCAGGTCAATTACGTCATTATGTCAATTGTGAAGGGGCCAGCCGGTCATATTCCTGCCACATGTGTTACTTAAACCCCTTGCCTTGCTGACTGTGTATGTCATGTCATCTACTAATAGTTTAACTTAAATGAGATCTTTTCCCGTCTACTGTTCACCATTCACCACTTCCAGCTCGTTCGATAAACCCTTACTTTCGTTCTGTCTCCTCAAACCTCAAACATGGATCCCGTATTCATCCAAGTCGATGTGCATTTCCAAGAAATCTTTGCAAAATATCCCATACGCTACACCGGGGGGATTACTTAGAGGTTATCGAACATCAATTTCGCAGGCATGGACAAGATCGGGTGTTATGAATTTATCGAAAGGTTCACCGGGAGAAAGTTTTGCGAAGCTCTATTACTAACTTACTGCCACCAGATATTCATTTTCCCAAAGGTCTGACCTTATTCGAATGAGTTGGATTATGCCAATTTTATAGCAATAAGTATGAATGTGGGTTTATACTGACTATGTATGTAGACCATTTTGGTAATACTAACATGCAGGAATGGTTGGAAGAACACAAAGAAGAGGTAGTTGATAACATAGTGGAAGAAGTTCTTGATGGTGCAGGACTACTTAAAGAAATTGAGACATGCCATTTGGATGATGAGGATGAAAATGAAAATGAAGATGAGGATAAGGATGAGGATGAGGATGACCATGGGGCTGAGGATGTGGATGCTGATGAAGATGAGGATAACCATAACATCCCTCATTTTATCAAAAAGGATAATGGACCTGATGTCGAAATGGGTGACAATGCAGCTTTAGGGGGCCCTTTGGAAGAAGCCATGGATGAGGATGAAGATGTTTATCCTCAGTTACCAAACTTTTTCATTGAAAAGCTTCACTGGAAGGAACAGGAACTTGTGTTAGGTATGAGGTTTGAGAGTCCTAAACAATTGAAACACATGCTCTGTAACTATGCTGTTGCAAATGGTTATCAATTATGTTTTGTGAAAAATTATAGTAGACGGTTGCTAGCCAAATGTTGTGATGAAAAATGTACATTTAGGGATTGGGGTTCATGTATGAGTGATGATAAGTCTTTCCAAATTAAGTCTCTTATTAGTTACTACAATTGTTCAAAGAATTTCAAATTCGGATCAATTGTAACTTATAGATGGATAGGTACCCACTTTACCAAACAATTTTTCAACAATCAGAAGATGAGTGTGAGATTACTAAAAAAGGAGGTGAAAACCACTTTTGGCATTGTTGTAAGTATGAGTCAGTGTAGGAGAGCCAAGAAGTATGCATTGAGTCTAGTTGAAGGCACGGTTGCAGAAAATTATGCTAGAATATGGTCTTACGGTGAGGAGATTAAAAGATCAAATCTTGGATCCACTGTTAAAATTTATGTGGATACAATGCTTGATGGTAAGATTTACTTCAGCAAGATTTACATATGCTTTGATGCAGTCAAAGAAGGGTGGCGTGGAGGGTGTAGACGGATCATTAACTTGGATGGTTGTTTCTTGAAAAGTTTTTGCCAAGGTGAGTTGTTGTGTGCTGTTGGTAGGGATGCTAACAATGGAATATCCCCAATTTCTTGGGCAGTTGTATGTGTGGAAAATAAGGAGAATTGGAAATGGTTCATTGAAAATCTTGTAGAAGATTTGCAATGTTGGAATGATGGAAGTGGTTTGGTCTTAATTTCTGATCAACACAAGGTATGTTTGTAAAGTATTTAACATAGTATAATAAATAATATAATAAATATTTACATTTCTAACTTCACCTATTACTAGTACATATGCAGGGTTTGGTTGAGGCAGTCAAAGAAGTATTCCCAGCAGCAGAACATAGGCAGTGTGCTAGGCATATATATGCTAATTTTAGGGAGCCAAGTTTGAAAATTTGTTTTGGAGAGCAAGCAAAGGCAATAACTGAAGCACATTTTAACACAACCATGAAAGATATTGAAAAGTTGAATCCTGAAGCGGTTAAGCATCTTATGGATAGAGATCCAAAGACTTGGTCTTTAGCTTTTTTTAGAGTTCACCAATCATGTGAATATGTGGAGAATGGCTTTTCAGAGAGCTTTAATAGTGTCATTTTGGATGCTAGGAAGAAACCTATTATCAGCATGTTGGAGGACATTCGTATATATGTGATGCAAAGGATGGTCACTATGAAACTCACAGGTCAAGGATGGAATCGTTATTCTGTTTTTCCAAACATCAGAACAAGATTGAATATTCTCCAAAATGAGCGAAGGTATGCACACTTTTATTTCATACATAACTTACCTCTGCCAACTCTAAAATTAGCATTACTTTATGTATGCATTGGCAGGTTGTGTCTTGTGGGAGTATGAAGTTTGAAACAAGGAATATGGATGCGTCATACATTGTCGATGTCACAAAAAAGGAATGTAGTTGTAGGTTATGGCAACTAAATGGGTATGGTTGTGTTCATTCAGTAGCTACATTAGCGTTTTTAAACGTAACACCTGATGTGCCATATGTAGACCCTTTGTACCTGGTAGCTTCTTCCATAATACTTACAAAAAGTCTATTAGTGGCATGAATGGGATGAACATGTGGCCTTCTACAACCTTTACACCTCCATTGCCTCCTTTACAAAGAAGAATGCCAGGCAGGCCAAAAGTCAAAAGAATAAGGGATGCTTCTAAAATGTCTGGAAAACACATTGTTTCAAAGGAAGGAAAAAAGGTTTCTTATGGCATATTGTCACACCCCCAAACCGGAACGGCGGAAACGTTCGGGGGTGGATGACGTCATATGTGGTATCAAAACAATTGCATCATAGTAATCAAGGTAAACACAACCATTACATTGATTAAGTAAAACAATTACATCTGTTTGTTTCATATTTATATACATCAAAAGTATAACAAGAGTAAAAGACGTGACTCTATACGCTCCGTCTTCCCAAAAATTTGTGTGTTGTACCTGTCTACTGATTTCCTGAGAATACAAGCAGTTTTGAAAGAGTATCAGCATAAAGCTGGTGAGTTCATAAGCATGTTTTTGTAAGCAAAATATGTTAATGAATCAATAAAAATATTTGTATGTTTCCAAGAAAATCCATTATTTTCTAACATGTGTATTTTGTAACTGAATCTCATAATGTATTAGTTCATATGTCTAGTTACCATTGAATGTGCTGTGCATTGTTTGTTTTGAATGAAAAACCCATTTGTTTACATGAAAACCCTGGCTATCACCAATATGTATAGAATGTTCTGTTTGAAAACTCTGGATAACACCAGTAAGTATAAAAGTTTCATTTCTTAAAACAAAACCATGCATTGTAATCCCTGAAATCCTCCAGTTGTAGTATGTAGTAGTTCCCTTAATGAAAATAAAACTAATGAAGAATGTAATCCCGTAAACCAAAGGTTGTTTTATACTATTGTGAGTCGTATAACCATGCTTGATATGACTGATGACCTCTACGACGTTCTTCAGGCGTCAGACGGTATGATATTTGTCAGCCCAGGCATGCCTGCCTAACTGTAGCTAGCAGTTTAGGTGTGGGATTGTCAGTCCCGAATAGATCTATTCACAAATTTCACGCTCTCCCATCCAGGAGACTCTGGTTACACTAAATGATAGGATTTAACTTGTACCCCAAAAGGTATAATTGAAGAGTTGTTTCACAATCCTGTATTAACTAGTTTACGTGTAGTTCTGTATTGTTCTATTGTCTATGAATCCGTTTGTATACTTGTAGAGTACTAATTATACTTAAATAATTATTAGTAATGCATTCTTGTTATCCGAAAAATATCATGGAATATCATAAACTAAGTATGTCATAGTTTATATGCTTGTAAATGTAAAACCACGTATTGAAATCCCCAAACTATACCTATTATAGTTTGCATGTATGATATGTACTTGGTTTGTATATTGATCTAAAGACTATGCATTTATGCCTGTAAGTTGAAAAACATCCCTTATGCTCAGCATGTTACAAAAGGGATAAAATATCTAAATATTTGATAAACGTATGAAAACTGTGTGGTTGTGCCAATTGTATCAGTTCTAAGTGTATTGAAATCCTTTTTGTATAATTTCACAAGATCAATGATGTTTGGCTTGTATCCCCCCTGAAAACATTAAAACTGTAAAGAAATAGGGATATGAACTCACTTGATTAGGAGTGACTTGGATGAATAACAAGAACAAGATGCTTGGTATGCTAATTGAAGTCCCGAGCACAATACGGTCCTATTAAGCACATATTTACATATATAGGCCTACAATTAGTGTCTACAACCACTAACAATCATAGGAAACACCCTTAGGATCTAGGAAACACTTACAATAAAGTGTTAGAATCTAGAATGAGGGACAAGGAAGGGTTCACGGCCAAACCTCTATGGGTTCACGGCCCAAGAGGTGTTCACGGCCCAAGAACACATGGATACTTGAAGGGTTTTCAGCCCATTATGAAGGGTTCACGGCCCATGAAGAAGGGTTCAAGGCCCAATGAAGGGTTCACGACCGTGAACTCTTGGAGACCATGAAGATGGTGATGAAAAAGTGATGAATCAAGGCTAGAATCAAGGGGCTTCTAAGCATGAACAAGTAAGGGATGGAATACTTACGTTTTGAGGCCTTTAAGAGTGTTCACGGTTTAAGATAGTTGAGAGAGAGTGGAGGTGTTCACGGTTGGAGCTTGAAGAAATGAGGAGAAAAATGTGTGAATCCCATATATATATATATATATATATATATATATATATATATATATATATATATATATATATATATATATATATATATATATATGGAGGGTGGTTCACGGCCCAAGCATGGGTTCACGGCCGTGAACCTTGTTTGCGGCCGTGAACTCCCTTTGAAGGTGTTCCGGGCTCGATTGTTAACTACAGATTCCAGGATAACGCTTCCCAACATTCAACCCTTGAGTGTAGTAGGCTTAAAGACTCTTAAACTGACCCTGAATACAATAAAGCGATAATAGAAACAAGTCTGACTTTTATTGGATGAATTTGATTTACAGATAAAGATTTCGGGTTGTCACAAATATGCAAAGAGAAAGGGCACAACAAGACCACTTGCACTCAAGTGCCAAGGCCACCTAAAATTAATGTAACAAAGAAACAAAAAATCATGCAAACACAATAATCAGTAAATATGCAAGGGGGTGGAGAAGATGTTGTTATGGGTGATGCAGTTGAGCCACAAACTGATGAAGTTATGAGGGTAAACGAATCTGAGCAAGTGGTGAGGTATATGAAGCTGAGGAACTGGTTAGGGTTAATCAAGTTGTTAGTCAAGTGAATACTACGGGTCAACCAAGCAAGAGGAAAAAGTCAGAGAGAATTCTTAAAATAAAGTTTCATAAAAGAGTTGAAGGTGAATGTAGTAGTTTTGGATTGCCAATGGAGTTAGATTAATTACACTTCTAATTGTGTGTCTGTTATGTGGATTGAACAAAGGAATTTATGTTTGCTATGTTGATGTATGTTATGACAATCTTAACATTTGATATTTGGATGCGTGTTTGTATTTATAATATGTATGGTCTTTCTTATATTAGTGTGTACGGGGTATTTTAGTCATTAACATTTTTTCAAGAGGGCATGTCAATGTTAGTTTAGGGGTAATTTAGTAATTTGAATCAGTTAATAGAATAGGTGTATGGTATTTCATGTTATTATTAAAGTAGGGGTATTTCGGTCATTTGAATCAGTTAATACAATAGGTGTATGATATTTCATGTTATTATTAACGTAGGGGTATTTTAGTTATTTGTATCAGTTAATACAATAGGTGTATGATATTTCATGTTATTATTAAAGTAGGGGTATTTTAGTCATTTCAATCAGTTAATACAATAGGTGTAGGGTATTTCATGTACTTATTAAAGTAAGGGTATTTTAGTCAAATCGAAGAAGTTAAATTACATACAATCCCCCTAGGTGTATTAGTCTCATTTTAATTGGTAAAAGAGGGCATGTGAATGTTAATTTAGGGGTATTTCTGTCATTTTAATTAGTTAAAGAACTAGGGGTATTTCTGTCAATATTTTTTATTTTAATAAACCCAACAGGGGTGTTAGAAGCAATTTATATTATGTGACTTAACCCACTAGGGGTATTTCAGTCAATATTTATTATGTCACTAAACCCGCTAGGGGTATTTCAGTCATAGTTTTATTATTTGACTTAACCCATTAGGGGTATTTCATTTCTTCCCTTCATTTCTTCCAGGCAATTATTCAAAGTGGGCAATCACAAATACAACAAAAAAGCACTTTTCATTGTTTTCCATTTCTGGGTATAGGCAACGACAAATCTGGGTATTAAATTCTTCTCTTTTGTCTCATGTCCCCACAAACAAACATTGGGGTTCATGTTTTAATAGTATAAAACGTTTGACTGTTTCATGTGGTACCAAGAACAAAATCAACATAAAAAATGCCTACTACTTCACGACACATGCACATTTACATTTACAAGAGTACTCCATTTATAACAGGAACAAGTTAACTTAATCAACATTTCATTCATGGGTTTCTGCATCTTTACATATATTGAACAAGTTATAACAGGATTTCCACAACTACCTAAGTACATACAAGAACCATCACCTGTGACTATCATCAAAATACTGATCATCACAACATCATGATCACAAAACCACCAAATACTACAACCAAAAACCAAAAGACAACCAACAAAACCCGTTACTAATAAGGAGAATAAACAAGATGCACATCAAAACAAAATAGAAACCCAGGATTGAAATGTTTAACCTAAAGTTCTCCTGTCATTTAAAAAACATGTAGGTTAAAACCCCCACAACATCAACGACAAAAACCCCAAAGACCCATTTCACTTTCTTCAACTTCTTTTTCCCCAGAACAATGTTGACATACGACGCTTGCATTGAATAGAAATGATTCTTCAAATCAGCAACCATGTTAGATAGATCGAGTTGACCTGCCCTAACATCATCGATTTCATGGTTTAGGGTGTCCATCTCTCTAGTGAGGCTGCATCGTAGTTCACGAAGGTCGTTTGCAATCTCTTCCCTCACAAGCGACACCTCCAACTGTGTATGCATCAGATTGATCGCCAGGTCTTCATTTGTGACTCTATTCGAGACATTTTCAGCCATGTGCTGATTGTAGTTGGGTGACCAACTGTGATCTTAAGATGATCGTGAAGGCATCATTTCTGCGTTAGGTATCGAAGTTTAGGGTGCAGTCGGGGTAACCAGGTTATGAATTGTGCCATTTTAGGGCACAAGCTTCACATTTTATACGGATGCGGGTGAACAGTGTGAACTTGGCCTCTACGTTTCACATTCCAAAACGACGTCGTTTGGGTCCGACTTAAATACAATGTCGCCATGTCATCGATGATGTGTCAAATTGGGACGATGTGGCATGGTTACCGGGTATTATAAATTAAAGGGACTAAATTGCTAGGTTGCAACACAATTCGTTCCCTCATAAAGCCACTAAAAAAGTTTAGTGACTAAAAGGGTAAACCCTAGAAACTTCATAGGTTGTATGTATCATTTTCCCTTTTTTATATACATAAAAAAGTGTATTTTACGTAAAACAAATACGTAAAAAAACAAATAAATTTTTTGTAAATTTTTTTTACAATACGCTAAAAATATATTTTATTTTATTAAAAAAAACTTTTAATTTTGCAAAAATATGTTTTTTTATTTTTTTATTATTAATGTATTTATGATTTTAGATAATATTAATTAGTTTTCAGAAATAAAAAGCAAGTTTGGGTCAAGCCTAGTTGGATAGAGCTTTGGCTGATTAAAGAGAGGGGGAAAAGGTCCCAAATTTGAATCCTCCTCCCCTCTTTTTCTAGCATTTATATTATTTTAGAACAAATTACAAAAGTGGTCCATGTTGTTTACCAAATAATACGAATTTAGTCTTTTTATACTTGTAAAGACGAAAATGTCCTTGCAAATTCAGTCTCTAACGGTTGAATACTAACGGAGTTAGTAAAAATGGCCATCAGTGCAAGTTTTGCAAATCACAAGGACCATTTGCATCAAAAAAATTAGCAGAGACTGATTTTGTTACTTTTGACAAACCAAAGGGACCATTTTTGTAATTTTGTCTTTATATAATTTCCATCTATGATTGATATTTATGTTAACAAGCTCGTGGTACTTTTACCAGTAATTTATCAGTGTTATATCTCCTCTCATTTGAGTTGTTTTATGATTCATCCATGAAATTAAATAAAGTCTACTGTCAAGTTCTTTGAATAATTAAACACTTTTAGTAATTAAACATGAAGTAAAAAAGACGTCTAATCACCATCAAACTTTATGTTGTCGTGATGGAATAGGGTAGTGTTCTTAACTTTATACGGCATTGCTCCAATTAATTGACTTTTTCCTCCATAAAATACCAAATTTAATTCCACAAAATACCAAATTTAAAACCTTTTGATATTTCCATTTAAGGATTTTATTCATCCACATAAAATATATCTTTTATTGATTTGTACATAACATAAATAATAACAAAAATACATAGTTTTTAATCATAAATTTGCAAACACTTAGGTGACCAAAAAATTGTTAAATGGAAAGAATAGCATCATATTTTTATTCACTTTTTGATTATTAACATCATACTTTTGTTTTTTAATTACAACATTGTATTTTGAAAAAAAATATATTCAACTATAATAATGTTATATAGGTACAAAGTAATTTTCATTGCTATAACTGGATAGATTTTTGAAAAATACGTCCGAAATAAAAGAGGTTGACGGAACGCAATATTTCTTCAAAAAAAGAGAAGACTTGAGAGAAAACCTTCTTAGTAGAATGGTTTTTTTGGCATTAGCATTAGGGTTTCAACAATATGTTTAAATGACTTATTCTTGCATATAATAGCAATGCACATGCAACTTTTTACTCAAAAAAGCAGTGTACTTGTCTTTCTTTACCAATAATAGCAATATGTAACAAATAAGATATAATTCCATATTGGTAGCAAAATGCAAGTTGTTATTATAAGTAAGAATTAAAATATATCACTATGTTTTATACCTAAATTAAAATTTTAACTTGACGTAAATGTAGTAGTGCCTTCATCTTCATTCTCAAACAGGCTATATCATGTGTTTCATACCCAATCTTGAACATATTTGAAATAATAACTTGCTTCTGTTATATTTTCTTTCTTAGGCACTTCCATAAACGAAGTAGAATACAAGGGTCAATTAAAAAAAAAAAACAATAAAACCACTACCATGATTTTGTTAGTTTGCAAAGTGCTGTAAATATTAAAAATTAGTAAACTTTGTAGTGCTTAACGTATTTATTTTGTGGTGTTTAACGCTCTCGTCGAAAATGAGAAGCATGATAATAAAGGACTCGTCTTACTCTCAAAGCAATCATAATCTAAAAGCCATGACCGCTCAACAACTCATCTGACTCTTTAACATTTAACCTTCACCAACATCATCTCTAATAAATAAAGGTTTTTTTTGCTACTTGTCACACTCTCATTCAATTTACTAAATGTCATTTTGTGGTTATTTTGAAATAAATTTTTTTCCACATGTCATTTTATAAGTTTTTCTATTTTATTAAATTCCACATAATATTTTAATACAATTGCAATAAATGTATTAATAAATTGATATCAATTTCATTAATAAACCTACTTTTTAATTTCAAAATTCTTAAAATTAAAATTCATTAGTTTCTTTTCTTTATTTAAATTATTTGTTTAAATTTAAAAGATAAAAAACATTTTCATTATAATAATTCATTATTTTTCTTATTTTCTTATAAATTTAAAGTTCTTAAATATTTTGACATTTATATTTAACTTTTTTTTAAATTAACCCATATAATACATGAGTCTCACAACTAATCTACCATAATAAATAAGAATGATTTTGTCACATATCATTTTCTCATTCAATTTGTCACATGTCATTTTGTCATAATTTTGAGATATATATTTTTAACACTTCTCATTTACTTCATTTTTCATTTCAATATATCATTAATTTAGTTTCTATAAATGGCATGAGGCGTGGCGTGACGACAAGTCCAAGCTTCAAGCTTTACGAGTCATGACGTTTTTCAAGGTGTGATGTAAGGCGGCGACTTTATATTAATTTATAATTATATTACCACATAAATATAAATTTATATAAAATATAACTAATTTTTAGAAGTGTTATATCAGTAACTAATAAGAAAAAGTTAACAAAAAACACAATAGTTGTATCCCCGATTAGAAAAGACATAACAAAAAGCAAAGCGTCTAA